TGAAGGAGATAAGAAATGGCCACAAGAAGAGACTTACAACATCTTCATTGATTTAACTGATGTCCCTTTATAAAATTGAAAAGAACCTTACTGTATGATGACGTTAAGTATCGCTAGTTTTTACAAAAACAAGCAAAGAACATACTTTATAAGCCACTCCTTAATTATCAAAACATACACCAGTGGAGCACTATACTATATCCCAGTTGAGTTTGGGACAAGAAAAACTGGAATAACTTTTTATAGGAATGTGGGATAAGGATGAAACTTTCACAGGTTCTTAGTCGCCAAAGTCCATCAAAATCTGTGAAATCTTGGGTCTCTCAGCTCTTGGGAACCTTGAGAACCGGGTTCTCCCTATAAACCCAATGGCATACCAAAATGACGTTTTGTGACAATTTATCTACGTCATAGTTTACATAAGAACATGTGGTCGAGAGCGCAAACTGATAATCCTTGTTTTAAAAAGCTAATAAAGCAAGATCTTTTGATAATGATGGCCATTATGAAGACTAGTTGACTCCAGTAGCGGCTGTACTGCTTATCTGGAAGAGCAAGACTGTTTTAAGAGTGAAACAACACAGCCGCCATTCCTCTATGAATATCATTAAAATACGTCATACTACATTTTTCAAATTCCACGCAGCTGCTTCCCCTTCTGTCCCAAACTGAACTGGGATATAGTATAACTGATAATGGAAATTATTTCCTCATTATAATTATTGACCATATCAAAAAATAAACCAATAAAACTCTTGCCAACACCTAGCCCTGCTATATGGGTTGGGCATACTCATGTACTGGCTGATCTTGACGATGCACAACACTTTGGTACATGCAGTGGCATTTTGAATTTTTGTATAGAAGTCAAAAAATTGTCTTAAATATTCAGATTGATCATCAAAATAGCTCTACCATTGTACTATTAGAAATTAAAACAAAACTAAACACTACATGTCTATGCACTATGGTATGAAAGCTAACAGTAATTATAACATTTGCAAAGAAATAAAGCTGTTCTACTGAACATAAATCTCATAATAGCTAACAGGAACATCTTCATTATCAGTTCCCTCATCTCCACACACCCTCAACTCAATATAGTCAGTAGTGGTAGTGTTGCCATAGTCTCTGTGAAACCATGGGACACTGGTAAGGTTACAACAAGGCATTTCAGTAGAACTACAACCTTGACCATCCCAGAGTGGATCAGATGTGTGTAATATATATGGCCAATAATCAGTAGCAACTGCTGATTCACAGAAATAATGACCACCAACAAATGATTGAACTTGTTGGGTAGCACCAGTAGCACAAGGACAAAGATTACCAAGATGGATACTAGTTTCATAAATGGCAGCTATTAGTGTCCAGACATGTTGACGAGGAGATCCACGAGTGATACTAACACCATCAACATAATAGCTATTCAAATTATTGTGATTAGAACCCTCATTGTACACTGCATCAGGAGATGTATATTGATATCCAGTTACTCTACCACACACCTGAGAATAACTGATACCATTAGATGAGAACTGA